GTATTTAACAGCAAATAAACAAAACAGTTCTCCCATTCTTGCCAAAACACTATCCATCTGCTGAACACGACATGAACAGGATGTCCGAATCCTTTCTTTGTTAAGATGAAACGAACAGAGAATATGTTAATACGCTTCAAACAGAAGGGTCCACACATGTTTTTCTCTACTCTATGTTAATACTCTTCAAACAGAAGGGTCCACACATGTTTTTCTCTACTCTATGTTAATACTCTTCAAACACAAGGGTCCACACATGTTTTTCTCTACTCTATGTTAATACGCTTCAAACAGAAGGGTCCACACATGTTTTTCACTACTCTTTCCGTTTCCTAAAGGTGGGCTACAAAGTGACGTATTAAAGAATTCCAAACCTTATTTTTAAAACATAGCTTTTGTTTGTTTGTATATTTTAGCGCAAAGTTACAACAGGATATCTGCGATCTGTTCACCAAGAGGAATCGAATCTTCGAATAAAAAAAGAAAACCTTGGTCACTTTAGTAACTAGACATTAATCTATATAAATGTTATTTTACGGGTTTTTTTCTTAATTGGGCATTGCTGAAAGGTTGATTAGAAATTTAGTTGACAACATTATTGTTGGACATTTCACCATGTAGGAACAAATTCAAATTGTATAATGCAAAAAAAAAAATTATTGTATTTTTCTTTTTCTCTTAAATTGTATCTTGTTTACTTCCTTTAACCTTTGGACCAGGCGTAGCCAAGCAGATAGCTTGCCGGACTATGAATCCAAGAGTCCATAGTCCGAGTTCTGGTGCTGCAAAATCACGTTTCGCTTGTTCGAGTAGTGAGTGCGTTATGAGAATGACTGTTAAGTCCCATTATTCGCTCAACAATATTTGTCCAAGAGTTGGCGAGGGAGAGGGAGGTTAACTAGCTATTTTCTCTGTATTCTATCAGCTGAAGTAAGGAACGTCTAGTGCAGATAACCAATGTGAAGTTGTACGCGAATAAACAGAACAAATAAACCTTTAACTTCTGTTGTTTCAGTTAGGATTGATATTAGTGGAATCCAATGGGCGCCACACACTATATAGATATCAACGACATACTAAAAAATCTTCACTGGTTGATAGTTTGGAGTACATACCATAGTTTGTAAGTATCTTTTATTTTTACATTTGTTACGTTTTAAATACATTGCTAACATACTCAGTTTACAATGTAATCTTTAGATACAATACATGCTATAAAACTAAGGTTGAATCAAAAACCATTGATCTTCACTCGGCTGTATAGAATGATGTAATACACACAAAAAATTATATATCTCAGTCTTGTTAATATAAACCATCGAATAGCGTTTTAAGTGAGATATCGTGAGAAGTGAAATAGCTGGCATAAAGTATGTTTTTTACAGCTAATTGTGATTTTCTTTATATTATAGTAGACGGAAAATAACTTAACACTGGCATTATATAGATAGATAAGTAAAGTATTCATCAGAAAATAACTTGACAGTGACGTTATTTAGATAGATAGGTAAAGTATTGATCAGAAAATAACTTGACACTGACGTTACATAGGTAGATAGGTAAAGTATTCATCAGAAAATAACTTGACACTGACGTTATATAGGTAGATAGGTAAAGTATTCATCAGAAAATAACTTGATACTGACGTTATATAGGTAGATAGGTAAAGTATTTATCAGTAAAAGTTTCCATCAAATGTTCATTTTACACTAAAAACTTTTTGACATTGGTTAAAACTCTATATGTTCATGTCGCTACTAGTCTGTGTTATTTTTTTATGAACCGATTCTGGAAGACGTGCGACATAAAGGGAAAAAGTAACGATTAATAAAAAAGGTTTCCCAGAAATATATAGACAAATTGGCTATTTTTAATGTTTACAAGGCAGTTCTACCTTAGAACTATATTATCAGATTAAATCTGATTTTGATAAATTCCTGTTATCTTACAAACTGAAATCTACAGTATCACGTCTTTCTATTGTAATACGTAGGATTTCAGAAAAAGGTCAGAAAGAAAAAAATTTCGTTATTTATATCAATTACGTTTTTATAAATATCGACTTCAGTGTTTCGTTATGACATCTTTTTATTCGTATAAACAATAACAACTGGTGCATACGGAGTTTTATAATATTCTGAAGTGTAAAATAATAACAACTGGTATGTATCAGTTTTATAATGATCTAGAGTGTAAAATACTAACAACTGGCAAATACGGAGTTTTATAGTATTATGAAATGTACAACAACAGTTATGTACGAGTTTTATAATAATCTGGAGTGTACAACAACAACAACAACAGCTGGTATGTATCAGTTTTATAATAATCTAGAGTGTAAAATAATAACAACTGGCAAATACGGAGTTTTATAGTAGTATGAAATGTACAACAACAGTTATGTACCAGTTTTATAATAATCTGGAGTGTACAACAACAACAGCTGGTATGCATGGAGTTTTATAATAAGTTAGAGTGTACAACAATAACAACTGGCATGCATGGAGTTTTATAATAAATTAGAGTGTACAACAATAACAACTGGCATGCATGGAGTTTTATAATAAGTTAGAGTGTACAACAATAACAACTGGCATGCATGGAGTTTTATAATAAGCTGGAGTGTACAACAACAACAGCTGGTAAGTAGAAGTTTCATAATAATGTGGAGAATATAGTAATAAACAACTGGCATGCATGGAGTTTTATAATAAGCTAGAGTGTACAACAATAACAACTGGCATGCATGGAGTTTTATAATAAGCTAGAGTGTACAACAATAACAACTGGCATGCATGGAGTTTTGTAATAAGCTAGAGTGTAAAACAACAAACAGCTGGTATGTAGAAGTTTCATAATAATGTGGAGAATATAATAATAATAACTGGCATGCATGGAGTTTTATAATAAGTTAGAGTGTACAACAATAACAACTGGCAAGCATGGAGTTTTGTAATAAGCTAGAGTGTACAACAATAACAACTGGCA